TCACAGGACACACACACACACACACACACACCTGTCACAGGTGCACACACACCTGTCACAGGTACACACACACACACCTGTCACAGGCACACACACACCTGTCACAGGTACACACACACACACACACACACACACCTGTCACAGGTACACACACACACACACACACACACCTGTCACAGGTACACACACACACACACACTCACAGGTACACACACACACACCTGTCACAGGTACACACACACACACACACACACACACACCTGTCACAGGTACACACACACACACACCTGTCACAGGTCACACGCACACACACACCTGTCACAGGTACACACACACACACACACACACACCTGTCACAGGTACACACACACACACACACACACACCTGTCACAGGTACACACACACACACACCTGTCACAGGTACACACACACACACACCTGTCACAGGTACACACACACACACACACACACACACACACACCTGGACGAGCTGAAGACCAGATTAAATTAAATAAACTTTTGTCCAGTGACAAATAGAGTTTCTTGTTTTGTCGTGGACACACACACACACACACACCTGCTCTTTACATCACTGTGTGTGTTTAATCTTTTCGTCTCGTGTGTGTTGTGTGTGTTGTGTGTGTTGTGTGTGTTGTGTGTTTGTGTTTCCGTGGTAACCGCCTCCTCAGGTCCTGTTTGGCGTCTCAGGATCCGTACTGCATCTGGCTCCGGACCGGACGCTGCGAGAACTTCTCCCCCGGATTCAAGTAGGTCTCACAAAGTCCTGGTTTAGACCTGGTTTAGTCCTGGTTTAGACCTGGTTTAGTCCTGGTTTAGACCTGGTTTAGTCCTGGTTTAGACCTGGTTTAGTCCTGGTTTAGACCTGGTTTATTCCTGGTTTAGTCCTGGTTTAGACCTGGTTTAGTCCTGGATTAGTCCTGGTTTAGTCCTGGTTTAGTCCTGGTTTAGTCCTGGTTTAGTCCTGGTTTAGACCTGGTTTAGACCTGGTTTAGTCCTGGTTTAGTCCTGGTTTAGTCCTGGATTAGTCCTGGTTTAGACCTGGTTTAGTTCTGGTTTAGTCCTGGTTTAGTCCTGGTTTTAGACCTGGTTTAGTCCTGGTTTAGTCCTGGTTTAGTCCTGGATTAGTCCTGGTTTAGACCTGGTTTAGTTCTGGTTTAGTCCTGGTTTAGTCCTGGTTTAGTCCTGGTTTAGACCTGGTTTAGTCCTGGTTTAGACCTGGTTTAGTCCTGAGTGTTTGGATGAGGATGGAGGATGAGAGTGGGGGGGGGGGGGGGCGTTTCCATGGAGACAGACAGAGGGATGAAAAACAGACGAGAAGTGAGAAGCAAATCTAACACCACGAGAGAGAAACAGGACTAAACCAGGACTAAACCAGGACTAAACTAGGACTAAACCAGGTCTAAACCAGGTCTAAACCAGGACTAAACCAGGTCTAAACCAGGACTAAACCAGGACTAAACCAGGACTAAACCAGGACTAAACCAGGTCTAAACAGGACTAAACCAGGACTAAACCAGGACTAAACAGGACTAAACCAGGTCTAAACCAGGACTAAACCAGGACTAAACCAGGACTGAACCAGGACTAAACCAGGACTAAACCAGGACTAAACCAGGTCTAAACCAGGACTAAACCAGGACTAAACCAGGTCTAAACTAGGACTAAACCAGGACTAAACCAGGTCTAAACCAGGTCTAAACCAGGACTAGACCAGGACTGAACCAGGACCAAACCAGGACCAGACCAGGTGTGACTCAGGTGTGACTCAGGTGTGACTCAGGTGTGACTCAGGTGTGACTCAGGTGTGACTCAGGTGTGACTCAGGTGTGGTGTTTCAGGGCGGGGTTCGAGCAGGACCTGGATGGAGATCCTTCGCTCTACACAGATCCATGTCACGGTGAGAAACAAACACAGGAGAAGATCAGAGTTTGATCTGCTCAAGATCAGTTTATAATTTTAACGCAGGTTTATTTTAACATTTAGAAATAAAATATCAAAAAGAAAATCCAGAAAATCACTTGAAAGAAAATCTACAGACAGATTTTTGTTTCATTGAGTGAATTAAATATTTGAACCTGGAGAAAAAAGACTCAGATCTTTCAGTTCTTGGTGACGTTTCTCGTGGTTCATGTTCAGGTTTGTCACATCAGGAGGAGTTTTGGTCGATTCTTCTGCAGATCGACTCTAAATCCTGAAGCTTCATCTCCTCCAGATCTTTTCTACAGGCTGAAGGTTCACGTGATTCTTCTTGAGCCGCTCCTTCGTTTTCTTGGCTGTTTTGTTTTGTTTGTTTTGGGTCGTTGTCGTGTTGGAGACTCATCCTCGACACTATTTCAGTTTCTGTTGGAGGTCAGGAGGTCGTCACTCAGGATTTTAACGGTACGAGGCTCCGCCCCTCCTCCCATTGGTGCTGTGAAGTCGTCCTGAATGTCTCCAGCTCGACGGTGGGATGATGTTCTGGTGTCACAGGAGCATTTCTCTTCCTCCAAACACGACGAGTTAAGTTAAAGCCAAAAATCTGGATGCTGGTCTCCTCCTGCACAGACCTTCACCCAGTCCCTCTCTAGATCCTTCAGGGGTTCATGGACCACAGACCTTCTCCCAGTCCCTCTGTAGATCCTTCAGGGCTTCATGGACCACAGACCTTCTCCCAGTCCCTCTCTAGATCCTTCAGGGCTTCATGGACCACAGACCTTCTCCCAGTCCCTCTCTAGATCCTTCAGGGGTTCATGGACAGACTCCAGGCTGCACGTGTGTCTTCTTCAGCAGGACGACCTTGGAGCTGCAGGTTTTGTCAGTGTCTGTGTCTCAGCTCCTTGAGATGTTTGTCTGGTTCCTCTGGTGAAGTTCTGCTCTGATGTTCTCATGATCTTTAAACTCCTGGAGGTGAGATCTCGTGTGGAGCTCCAGACCCACGTCCACTCACTTTGTTTTTGTTCAATGTTGGAAAAGTCGCACCAACAGTTTCTCCTTCAGCCTCGTGCAGGTGCAGGGTCCGGTCCCTGTCCCTGTCGGTCCCTGTCGGTCCCTGTCGGTCCCTGTCAGATGTTTGTTTTTCTGGTGTTGGACTTTGAGTCTGATTCTCTGGACGTGTTTGAGTTTTTAGTCGAGGTGATTTTCTTTGTGCAGCAAAACTCAAAATTTTCAGTCAGAATCAAATATTTATTTCCCTCAGTGAAATAAAAATCAATTCATAAATTGAAGTGATTTTCTGGAGTTTTTTTTGATGTTTGATTCAGTGTTTAAATAAATCTGTTAAAATCATCAACTGTTTGTTTTTTGTCAGTGGATCAAATTTTATTTCTTTTCTTTTCTTCATTTTATTTTTCACATTTAAATGTTTTTTTATTGATTTGTTTTGTTTGTCGTCGTCAGGCAGCGTCATGGCAACGACCAGGAACCACGACTCCGCCGACGCCGCCTACGGTACGTGACCCCCGACCCCTGACCTCTCTCATGTTCTCCTGCGTGTTCGTTCATGTTCTCTCGTGTTCTCTCATGTTCTCTCGTGTTCTCCTGCGTGTTCGTTCATGTTCTCATGTTCTCATGTTCTCTCTGTTCTCTCATGTTCTCTCGTGTTCTCTGTTCTCTCTCGTTCATGTTCTCCTTGTGTGTTCTTCATGTTCTCTCGTGTTCTCTCGTGTTCTCTCGTGTTCTCCTGCGTGTTCGTTCTCATGTTCTCTGTGTGTTCATGTCTCTCATGTTCTCTCATGTTCTCTCATGTTCTCTCGTGTTCTCTCGTGTTCTCCTGCGTGTTCGTTCATGTTCTCTCATGTTCTCCTGTGTGTTCTCTCATGTTCTCTCATGTTCTCTCGTGTTCTCTCATGTTCTCTCGTGTTCTCTCGTGTTCTCCTGTGTGTTCGTTCATGTTCTCATGTTCGTTCATGTTCTCTCGTGTTCTCTCGTGTTCTCTCGTGTTCTCCTGTGTGTTCGTTCATGTTCTCTCGTGTTCTCTCATGTTCTCTCGTGTTCTCTCGTGTTCTCCTGCGTGTTCGTTCATGTTCTCTCATGTTCTCTCATGTTCTCTCGTGTTCTCCTGCGTGTTCGTTCATGTTCTCCTGTGTGTTCGTTCATGTTCTCTCATGTTCTCTCGTGTTCTCTCATGTTCTCTCGTGTTCTCCTGCGTGTTCGTTCATGTTCTCTCATGTTCTCTCATGTTCTCTCGTGTTCTCTCATGTTCTCTCGTGTTCTCCTGCGTGTTCGTTCATGTTCTCTCATGTTCTCTCGTGTTCTCCTGTGTGTTCGTTCATGTTCTCCTGCGTGTTCGTTCATGTTCTCCTGTGTTCTCTCATGTTCTCTCATGTTCTCTCGTGTTCTCTCATGTTCTCTCGTGTTCTCCTGCGTGTTCGTTCATGTTCTCCTGTGTGTCTCTCATGTTCTCTCATGTTCTCTCGTGTTCTCTCATGTTCTCTCGTGTTCTCCTGCGTGTTCGTTCATGTTCTCCTGTGTGTTCGTTCATGTTCTCTCATGTTCTCTCGTGTTCTCTCATGTTCTCTCGTGTTCTCCTGCGTGTTCGTTCATGTTCTCCTGTGTTCTCCAGGCGTGGGTTCCCTGTCGGACTCTCACGTTCACTACACGCTCCTCGTGGCCTGCGTTCTCGTGGCGTTCTCGCTCGGCGCCGTTTTGTCCGGGTTCCTGGTTTCCTGTTACTGCCGAGGCCCCGCCCACCGAGCCACGCCATTGGCCAAAGACCCGGAGGCGTCGTTACCTCACGCCCTTTCTCTGCGCTCATTGGCCAAACTCAACGGGCTCCTGGACCATCCCAGCAAGGTCCGGACCCAGACCGGGACCCAGACCGGGACCCAGACCAGGACCCAGACCGAGACCAGGACCGAGACCAGGACCGAGACAGGAACAAACTGAGACCAGGACCGGACTGGGACTAAAACTGGAACTGAAGCAGGACTCAACTTAGACTGAAACTAAGAATGAACCGAGACGGAACCAGGACTGAAACTGGGACCAAATCAGGACTAAATCAGGATTAAAATCAGAACTAAACCTGGTCTAAACCCGGTCTAAACCCGGTCTAACCTCGGTCTCTTGCAGGAGCGGTTGGACGTGTCCAGACTTTACTCGTCTCTGGTGAACGGGTCCGAGTTGAACCTGGTGCCTCCTCCAGAACCTCCTGTGGGGGGCGCCGCCGAGCTCCGCCTCTCCCAGGTACCAGGACTAAACCAGGACTAAACCAGGACTGAACCAGGACTGAACCAGGACTGAACCAGGACTGAACCAGGACTGAACCTTAAAGGAAATAAATCAGATTCAGACTCTGTATCGGGTCGATTCTTCTGCTTCTCGTGGTTCTTGTTTGTTTGTTTATTGTTTGTTTGTTGTTGTTTGTTGTTTATTGTTTGTTTATTTGTTTATTGTTTGTTTGTTTATTGTTTGTTGTTTATTGTTTGTTTGTTGTTTGTTTATTGTTTGTTGTTTATTGTTGGTTTGTTGTTTGTTTTGTTTATTGTTTGTTTATTGTTTGTTTGTTGTTTGTTTGTTTATTGTTTGTTGTTTATTGTTTGTTTGTTGTTTATTGTTTGTTGTTGTTTGTTTATTGTTTGTTGTTTATTGTTTGTTTGTTTATTGTTTGTTTTTGTATTGTTTGTTTGTTTATTGTTTGTTTGTTTGTTTGTTTATTGTTTGTTTGTTTATTGTTTATTGTTTGTTTTTGTTTGTTGTTTATTGTTTGTTTGTTTGTTTATTGTTTGTTTGTTTGTTTATTGTTTGTTTGTTTATTGTTTATTGTTTGTTTGTTTGTTTGTTGTTCAGACTCTGTCTCAGGCCGAGGAGGAGTTTGAGTCGACGTTACCGACCCCAGAGACCAGCCCCAGACCCGGACGCTCCCAGAGTCCAGACCAAGACCAGGACCTGGACCAGAGCCAGGACCAGGACTACAGCCGGGATCATAACCAGATCTGCCCCAGCGCCCCCTCAGGCTCCGCCCCCTCAGGCTCCGCCCCCTCGTTCGTGGCGTTCGTGGGACACTCGTCCGTGTTCCAGACGGCAGCGTGTAAGAGCGACAGCGTCCTGACCAACGGGGCGGCGCCGTTCGGCGACAGGAGGACGGCCAATCAGGAGCCGGCGTCCTCGGGGGGCGGGGCTTACCTCCACCAATCACAGACGCTGCCTCAGGCCGACGTGTCGGCGCTGGACGAGCTGCTGCGGCACATCCACGAGGTCAGAGACGAATTAACACGAACCTCTGACCCCTGACGTCACCCTGTGACCTCTGACCCCTGACGTCACCCTGTGACCTCTGACCCCTGACGTCACCCTGTGTTTGGTTTCAGAGTCGAGCGTCTCGGTTCGTCCAGGTTCTTCTCACGTTTTAAACTAAAGTTTTACATTTGAACATTTTCTTTGTTTGGTGAAACTCGACTCGACGTTTTACACGAAAACAAGACACAAAGTTTATTTGAAAACCTGGTGTTTATTTCCTGTTTCCTGATTAAATCTGGAGACAAAAACAAACAACAAAAATTAGACTCCAACTTCACGAGACGAAGCACACGAATGACATCACTCATGTCCATGTGTGACAGGGGCTTTTACTGCTCCAGTGTAAACTGGGGGTAAAGAACACACTCAGGTCCCTCAGGTCGTCCTCAGGTCCCTCAGGTCGTCCTCAGGTCCTTCAGGTCCCTAAGGTCATCCTCAGTTCTCTCAGGTCCCTCAGGTCGTCCTCAGGTCCCTCAGGTCGTCCTCAGGTCGTGACTTGTGTGTTTGTGTTTCAGGTCAGCGCTTCAGGAACTGGAGGAATCAAAGTCCTGACGTCGACGTCGTCGTCGGGTTTGTACCCGCCGCTCCACCCCAACCACCCCCACCTGCACCTGCCGCCCCGAGCCCCGCCCACGGCCCCGCCCCCTCACACCAGCACCACGCGCACCCACCACTACGGCCCCAAACCCCCCGACCCCGCCCACCACCCGACCCCGGCGCCGGCCAAACTCCTGGACCCGCCCCTCGGCTCCAAACGCCACGCGGGCCACGCCCCCCGACAGCTCGTCAAGATGCCCGCCGCGCCCAGGACGCCCGGCCTCGCTCAGACCCCGGTCCAGACCCAGGTCCAGACCCAGGTCCAGACCCAGGTCCAGACCCAGGTCCAGACCCAGGCCGGGTTTTTGGCCCACATGAACACGAACAGCAGCAGTAACGGTCCGGGCGGCGGCGGTGGCGGCGGCGGCGGCGTCAGAGCGGCGGTGAGTCTGACGCGGCAGCACAGCTACAGCGAAGGCCCCAAGAGTCACAGAGTCGCCGTGAGGCGGAGCCTGTCGCTCAAGCCGCAGATCCCCCCGAAACCGTTGTTCCTGCCCAACGCCGCCACGCTCGCCGAAACGCTCACGGAAACACTACCGGAGACGCTCACGGAGCGACTCACGGGGACGATGACGGAGACGAGAGCGACGGAGCGGCGAGTCGAGCGGCGAGCGCCGGAGCGGCGAGCGACGGAGCGGCGAGCGGGCGACAGACGAGAGAAATAAGCAATAACTTAAACCATAAAATGGACAAACACTCAGAGCAGGACCCGACCGATTTATCGTTTGGTCGATATTATCGGACGATCCGCCTCTGGACTCGACATAAACGTCGACGTTTGGAGCCGACGGTCGACGAGTTTCACCTCGAATGAAACTCAGAGTCTCCAGATCCAGATTCAGATTCAGATTCAGATTCAGATTCAGATTCAGAACGTTTTAAATCCAGAGTCTTTGGTGCAGGAAAAACAGTAAATGTTTAATTTGAGTTTTGATGAAGGATCAATGTTTAAAAACGTCTGTCCTGCCTGTGTGAAGTGGCTCTGTGTGAAGTGACTCTGGTGTGTGTGACTCTGTGTGAAGTGACTCTGTGTGAAGTGGCTCTGTGTGAAGTGACTCTGGTGTGTGTGACTCTGTGTGAAGTGACTCTGGTGTGTGACTCTGGTGTGTGGACTCTGTGTGAAGTGACTCTGTGTGAAGTGACTCTGGTGTGTGTGACTCTGTGTGAAGTGACTCTGGTGTGTGACTCTGGTGTGTGACTCTGGTGTGTGGACTCTGGTGTGTGACTCTGGTGTGTGACTCTGGTGTGTGCACGTGTGACTGGGCCCGCTGATGTGTGAATGAGCCACATTTACACTGGATCATTATTTAATGATTCAAATGTGATCCGTTCGACTCTTTAAATCTGACGTAAAAACGCAGAGGAGCAGGAAACAAACACAGTTGAATCCAGTCGAGTCGACCTGAAGTTTAGAATCTGTGAAGTTTTTACATCAGTGAATAAATCGACTTTTATCTCGACCGTCGGCTCCAAAGTTCGACTCAGAATCAGATCGAGCAAAACACGACTGAAGGAGGAAATCAAACCAAGTATTTAAGGAGACGAGGACAGAGGAGACGAGGACAGAGGAGACGAGGACAGAGGAGACGAGGACAGAGGAGACGAGGACAGAGGAGACGAGGACAGAGGACACAGGAGTGGAGCGCGGCGGCTGCAGTGACTCAGACTTTTTCAGACTTTTAGTTTGAGTCAAAACTGAACAAAACTTTTTAAAAAGTGGAATGTCGGAAAAACTGTCTGTGGCTCGTCGTGTTTACGGCTCGTCGGGTTGTGGCTCGTCGGGTTGTGGCTCGTCGGGTTTACGGCTCGTCGGGTTTTGGCTCGTCGGGTCGTGGCTCGTCGGGTTTTGGCTCGTCGGGTCGTGGCTCGTCGGGTCGTGGCTCTTCTGGTCGTGGCTCGTCGAGTTTTGGCTCTTCTGGTCGTGGCTCGTCGGGTTTTGGCTCGTCGGGTTGTGGCTCGTCGGGTTTTGGCTCGTCGGGTTGTGGCTCGTCGGGTCGTGGCTCTTCTGGTCGTGGCTCGTCGGGTTTTGGCTCGTCGGGTTTTGGCTCTTCTGGTCGTGGCTCGTCGGGTTTTGGCTCGTCGGGTCGTGGCTCGTCGGGTTTTGGCTCGTCGGGTCGTGGCTCGTCGGGTTTTGGCTCGTCGGGTCGTGGCTCGTCGGGTTTTGGTTCGTCGGGTCGTGGCTCGTCGGGTTGTGGCTCGTCGGGCTGTGGCTCTTCTGGTCGGGCTCGTGGCTCGTCGGGTCGTGGCTCGTCGGGTCGTGGCTCGTCGGTCGTGGCTCGTCGGGTCGTGGCTCGTCGGGTCGTGGCTCGTCGGGTTTCGTGGCTCGTCGGGTCGTGGCTCGTCGGGTTTTGGTTCGTCGGGTCGTGGCTCGTCGGGTCGTGGCTCGTCGGGTCGTGGCTCGTCGGGTTTTGGCTCGTCGGGTCGTGGCTCGTTGGGTCGTGGCTCGTCGGGTTGTGGCTCGTCGGGTCGTGGCTCGTCGGGTTTTGGTTCGTCGGGTCGTGGCTCGTCGGGTTGTGGCTCGTCGGGCTGTGGCTCTTCTGGTCGTGGCTCGTCGGGCCGTGGCTCGTCGGGCTGTGGCTCTTCTGGTCGTGGCTCGTCGGGCTGTGGCTCGTCGGGCCGTGGCTCGTCGGGCCGTGGCTCGTCGGGCGTGTCGTGGCCGTGGGCTCGTCGGGCCGTGGCTCTTCGGGCCGTGGCTCTTCGGGCCGTGGCTCTTCGGGCGTGGCTCTTCGGGCGTGGCTTCTTCGGGCCGTGGCTCTTCGGGCGTGGCTCGTCGGGCCGTGGCTCGTCGGGTCGTGGCTCGTCGGGCTGTGGCTCGTCGGGCTGTGGCTCTTCTGGCCGTGGCTCGTCGGGCTGTGGCTCGTCGGGCTGTGGTCTTCTGGTCGTGGCTCGTCGGGCCGTGGCTCGTCGGGTCGTGGCTCTTCGGGCTGTGGCTCGTCGGGCTGTGGCTCTTCTGGTCGTGGCTCGTCGGGCTGTGGCTCGTCGGGCTGTGGCTCTTCCGGTCGTGTTTGTACCACATTGGTATCGTCGCCTTTTATAACGAAATATTCCTGAAATTAGTAAAAACACGTTTGTACTTTTTAAACGAAACTTTTAAAATCATTAAAGTCACTGTGAAAAAGTCACGATATTTACATCTGCAAATCCCCAAACCCGTTTAGACCGAGTGAAGTCCTGGTCTAGACCTGGTTTAGTCCTGGTTTAGTCCTGGTCTAGTTCTGGTCTAGTTCTGGTCTAGTTCTGGTCTAGTTCTGGTCTGGTCCTGGTCTGGTTCTGGTCTGGTTCTGGTCTGGTTCTGGTCTGGTTCTGGTCTGGTCCTGGTCTAGTTCTGGTCTGGTCCTGGTCTGGTTCTGGTCCTGGTCTGGTCTGGTTTCTGGTCTGGTCTGGTTCTGGTCTGGTTCTGGTTCTGGTTCTGGTTCTGGGATTTGCAGGTCTTTGCTTCTGTGTTGGTTCATGTTATAATATTTGATAATATTTATTCTTCTGATCTGATAATTGTACTTTTTTATTTTTTATTTTTGACTTTTGTCTTTTGTTTTTGCTCTGAACTGAAACGTCTCGACTCAAACGACGTTTTCAAAAACAAATTCAAAGTTTTGGCTGAAAAATCCAATGGAAATTTGTAAAAAAAATCTGAATTTTCTGAATTGTGTCGCTCCAAAACACGACGCCAAAAACAAACTCAAACAAACTTAAAGCAGGTGTTGATTAAAGCTTCACTCTGGCACTTTTCCGCTGGAGGGTCTGAGTCTTGAGTTTTTCTGTTGAGACGTTTTTGTTTGTCTGAAATGTTCCGCAGTGGCTTTAGCACTTTTCTATTTGCATAAAAAAAAAAAACCTGGTCTTGGTGGATTCACGTTTCTGTTTCCATGGCGATAGACACGTTTAATGCTGCGCTGCGGAACATTCTGGACAAAACTTTCGGCGTCTCCGCGGTGACGAGGAGGAAACGGACGGACCAGCGGGAAAGTTCCACAGTGTCTTTAAACGTAAAAACCTGGAGGCTCAGGGTTAAACGTCTGTGGGGGAAAACGGGACTAAAACAAAACCAAGATTTTACATGAAACTTTACATTTTGGACATTTTTGTTTTTACTTCCTGGTTTGGAATCATGATGTCACAACGGGGAATTCTGTCTCTGTTACCACGGCAACTGAACTCCACTAATGTCCCAGAGATTCTGAAGTGACAAATACAAATATAAGAAAAGTCCATGTTCTGTTTGTTATTTGAAATAAACTTTAAATTAAATATTGGAAATTTATTGGAAATCGAGGTCAAAATCTTCTTTTTTGTTTGACACAAAAACGGAAAAATGGAATAAACTGTTTTCACATTTTATTGTTTTTGGTTCTTAATTAAAATTCAAAAGAACAAACAGAACATGGACCAAGAAAACACTTTTGTTTTGTTTAAAGTGTCAGAAATGTGTTTGTGTGAACTGGAACCAAATTATGAACAAACTTCTCTCACTGCCACGTCATCGGTGCGACGGCGTCATCAGTGCGACGACGTCATCGGTGCGACGGCGTCATCGGTGCGACGACGTCATCGGTGCGACGGCGTCATCGGTGCGACGACGTCATCGGTGCGACGGCGTCATCGTGCGACGACGTCATCGGTGCGACGGCGTCATCGGTGCTGAAGTGTCTGTGGTGGTTTTCAGATTCTCGAGTGTGATGACGGCGTCAGATTGTCAGACGGGGCAGACGTCTCTTTTGATCACAGTGTGGTTCATCTGTGTGAAATGTCCCCAAACAAACACAAACCTGCACAAAAACTGAGTCCATCGTTTGTGTTTCGTTTGTGCTGCAAAAAAGTTCAGTTTGTGAGATTCTGGTTCTTCAAATATTCTCAGTTTTATTTTGAGTCGATGAATCAAAATGTGCCTCAGCCTCAAAACAAAAAATTAAACCAATCGTTTGTGTTTGTGTTTGGTTTGTGTGTTTTGTGTGTGACTGGATTCATTTGTGTGAGTTTATTTCTAAAATGATTCATGATTATTTTTGTGGAAATTCTCTGAGTCATCGGCCCAAAATAAAACTGTTCAGATCTGAAGAACCAGAATCTCACAAACTGAACTTTAACAACAAAAAACCAAACACAAACCATCGACAGGTTTTGTGTTTTTGTGCGTTTAACTTCACCACGTTTTGTGTTTTACCATAAAATGTCCAAAGTGTAAATTTAAAAATGTTGAACTTTGTTTTTCTCTCTGTATTAAAACGACAACATTCTGTATTTGAACTCGTTTAACGTCGACTGTTTCGTTTGTTCATGAATCTTTTACCCTCAGACTCTGTGACGTCATCAAACCAACTCTACTGTTTTATTTTCAAACTTTCTTTTTCAACTTTTCTTCACAAATTGTTTCTTCATTTGTGTAAAAGTGTTATTTATATTTACCGCAGGTTTTATCTCCAGAGAATCGTCAGAATCGTCACATTTTCAAATGGAACTTTATCCTAAAACTTGTGGATGTTTTAACAAAAATATTAAAATCAAATGTGAGGAAAGTTCATTTAAAGTTTGTAAAATCACCAAACACTTGCAGCTTTTGGACCTGAGCCTTTTCTGTTTTTAAAATTCAAAACTTAAACTGTTGAATAATAAAGGTGTTTGTAACGAAGCAATAACTCCCTGATGCTGCTGGAGCCACAGCGCCCCC